AAGAAATGCTTCAAATAACAAACATCCATCTGGACACCTTGAATATAACCTGCCAAGATAACTATCTCGTGTTCGAAAAGCTAATCTGGAGTTGATTTTTTTGAGGACGTGATGCGAACTTTTATTAACAAAGAGGATAATTCTTTTGTACTTGCGGTCGTACAGTCAAGTGTTTTGTTGACATAGGAATTGTTCGGGGGTTGTTAGTGGCACGTGCCTGATGAGTAGCTATTCACTGAAATTCGAGGACGAGCGACAATGGGGCGCAATTAAGCCAAGTCTGATACGTAATCGCTTATCACCTGATTATCGTCTGTAACGGCGGGAGGCCATTGAGGAAAAAACTTGAGGGTCTGCGATTTTTTCAGCAATTTTTCCGCAATTATTTCAGTCTAGACGTGAATTGAAATAAATTCGTCGTGGGGTGATATTGAAGATTCCGTGTTGTTTGTACGAAAGCTTAGCTGGAAGTTTCTCACAGTTGTCTATTGTTCCAAAACACAAGTCGCTGGTATTACAGGTGTCAGGAGTGATGAGAGATAAATTGTTTTAAAGAAGACGCTTTCTCGGAATCGCCTCCATTTGTTCCGTCGATGTAGACGGATCGGCGGCGAGAAAAAACAAAGCTTAGAGAAGATTTTTCAAAACAGTGGCGTAACAGAAACTACAATTCTTTTGTAAGCGGTGTTTCTAAAGGCTCGATCAAAGATTTTCTAAACATTTAATTAAACTATACTTTTACAAAATAAATTAAAAATCGCCAAGTGGAACGTCTGATTTTGTTGTGCACTAAGAATGATTGAGACAGAATAAAACAAAATTAAAAAAAGAAGTGTATCTTTTCCTTTTTCATTACAAAAATTATTTTAAAAAATATTTGAAAAAATAATACTTATTTTATTTAAATCTGTTAGGACAGATAATCGTTTTGAAATAGTTTAGTGTTAGCAAGTTGGTGACAGATTCATCATTCTAAGAACAAACATATTTTTTATACATCAGCTTCTCTGTTACTGATCTCTGCTAATTCAAAATTTTAAAAGTATGTATGTAGGTACAGTTGCGGAATTAAAATTTCGGGCAGTATTTTTCTGTCACTTTAAAAAGTTCACTGTAAACTACCCTTTACTGTCATCATGACTGACATTTGACAATTAAACTTTTTGTTGTTAAAATTGGTAATTAAATAATTTGTCTGTCTTAGAAAATTTATTAATTAAAGTAAGTGTAATTAAATCATCGCTTTGATCTGCTGCCTACCCGTCACTATTTTTGAAAGTAAATAAGTCAAAATGACATAAACATGACAAGAGTAAAAAATAAGGTTATTAAGTAAAGGTTGTTTTGGAGTTTACATTATGAAAATGACAATACCTACTGCCCGAAATTTTAATTCCGTAACTGTACATACTTGTACCTACGAGTAAATGACTATCAGTATTAATTAGTCATAAATTTATTTATTTAATTAACTACGAGAACAAGTTAGCAGTATACATATACTTACTATTGCTTTAGATAGTCAAAATCAATAAATTTTGGGCATGGGCGCCGACTACATGGGTGCATCGGAGCAGATGCACTCATTGAAAGATGAAAATAATGTACTCTTGCTTAAGGTAAAAAAATAATAGTAATAACTTTTAATAATACCGTGCGATCAAAAAAATAATAAATTAGAATAGGCGGTGATTAAAGTCGTTCAGATGGCAATCTTGATTTTTGACATCAAATGTCAGCGAAAACATTGACAAGATTTCGTTTTATTCCTTTTGAGTGAAATAATGTTCACTTTAGAGCAGAAAATTTTTATTGCTGTACAAGATGAAAACGGTGAATGGTCATTTTCACTTTCAGTTTGTGTGGAAATTTTCCAGCCCAGATTCCCAGCCAATGTGTTGCCAACTGCATGTAGAATTTGATCGACGCCTACTCTAATTTATTTATTTTTTGATCGCACGGTATTTGGAATTTTGTATTTATTCCTCAAAATCACTTTTAATGTCAATGTCTATTGTTAATTCTATTTTCCCCTTCGAGAAAATGAATCAAATGCATCGTTTATGTTATTTTATTTTGTTTTTCCATTTTTTAAATTAATTCAAAATTAAGCTTTTACCTCAAGAAAAATAATGGTCGTATTTAAATTTAAAAAATCCATTTTAAAACTTCAAGTTTATAGCCTTAAAATCTTTTGGCAAAAAAATTTCTGAGCTTTGGTTATTACGTAATCCTAAGAAATACCGAATAAAAAAAGTTTTTTTTTTTGTCCACGGATATGGAGAAATTTTTATTAATTAAATTAATAAATGAGCCGGATAGCTTGTTCATTCAACTTTAATTTGCTTTTTTTATGTTTTCTTTACGTCGATTTGTCTCTGAGATATTTTGACTTTTAATGAAACATTTAACAAACATTTATGCAAAGTTTCAAAAAAAGTTAGTTTTTAGTGTAATATTTGTCAAAACTCAACAACTTGAAGCATTTTGCAACTTTAAACATGTACTATTTTCTTTACACTTTTTATTGCATATGTTGTTTATTATTATTATTTTTTGTAATATGTATACAAAAAAAATATATTGTTTTTAAATTCTCTAAATATTAAATACAATAAATTCAGCAAACATAGGGAAGAAGAAATCGTTTTTTCGAGTAATTGTTCTCAAGTCCTGTAATTCGTACCAAAGCACATAATATATCATAATTTGAAAGTTTATTTAAGGTTTTAAAGTAAAAGAAATTAATGTTAACACAATAACTTGTAGACGTACGTTCATTTTTTAAGTAATGAATAAATAAACAGAAAAAAATGCTAATCATAATGAGTTTAACAACAATTTAAATGATTTGCTGTAATTATTAATTAAAAATCTATGCTCCAGTTGAATTTTATTATCTCTCTGAACTTTAAGCTAAATCTAATTAAACAATAAATTTAAATAATTGTAAGAAGAAATATTAGCTTTATTGCATTTTGTTGGTGGTGGTTAATGTTTTTAAAAATGACCATATTTATATTACTTGTAGTTTTTGCTTATTCGAGCATGCCACTAAAGGTGAGTTTCTTCCATTCAATTGTCTCCTAAATTTTTACAATTCTTGAGTTTTGTAAACCCATCCTCTGTTCAATTTCTCTCACCACCTGTTGGCTGGCCCACCAGCCAAATTAGTATCATTGTATTCAAATGGAAACCTTCAAGTAGAGCATATGCCCGCCAAAAATACATTATCTCGTACAAAAGCTGTCGGTATTTAATAGCCCCGCCGCCTAATTATTCGAATTTTATCGATCGGTCTTCGCATCGTCATTCATTGCCATCGTTTATATCGACAGCCTTAATCCTCGTAATCCATTCATGACTGTTTACTTCGCGTCGAAATTAAAAACTGCCCCTCTCGATCTGATTTTAATTAAATTATTTGACGGACGTGTTTGTTAGTTCAGGGTTTAGACCCGGATTTCGTCGGGGTGACACAAGGGGTGTGTGATAGATCGTCACATTAAAGAGTTATTAAGGCGACCTTTGCTGTTTTCCCAACCGAATAATGAATTCTAAACCAAATCTAATCTCGTTCTTATAACCATATTCCGACTAATGAAACTGCCCCGAATCGAATTATCTCTAATCTGGATCGATTGCAGCGCCCCCTGCGATTTATTTTTAATTAAATTGCGACATTGCTTCTGCACTGCACTGTACACAAAAGAAAAAATTCTCACTCCCGGTGTAACGCTACCGTTTATTAAAATTCCACGTGCGAAATTTATTAAAATAATCAACGCTGTTTGATACCTAGCAATTAAAACAATGCATCATCGCGTGTAATAACAAGGCCCTCTTATTAAACACACCCATTTAATTGTTGCATTTTTTAAGACACGCTGTATACTAATTAACGCCGACTTGTTTTAATATTGCTTTAGCGGTTTAATGAAATAATCCCCGAGTTGCGATACATTTTAATAAACACCCCCAGGGTGACAACAACCCCTTTCTTATTTTTAGACCAAAGAAGAAATAAATCGAGCTGGAGATAATAAATTGAGGTATTTTTACACGAACATCTTTACAGCAATTTATGACTACGCCACTGAGGTCCAAGGGCGAGCCACGGGGGCTCCGATATTACGCTCCGAAGTCCACTATTCAATTTACCCATAAGTGAATTGTCATTTGTTTTTATTGTCACAGATAAATTAAGAGGGCCCAAGAAATTGATCTTGTACAAAAGCTCAAAATAATGATACGAAATAAAGACATTAAAGGACTGTAATTTACGACTTAAAGAATTTAACACACAAAAACAAATTAATTACTTACACCGGATTTGTTGCTTTATTTATTGTGTATAATAGTATATTAAAGTACAAGTTGCAGAAGGTATCTATTCAAGCACAAATTTGAAATTCCGAAACGAGCCGCGTAGCGGCGAGTTGAGGAACAAATGAACGCTTGAAGAACCTTGTACAACAAATGCTTTATACTATTTTTTCTATTTTTCCGCTTTATATCATTTTATAAATTAAAAAACGAAAATTTAATTTTTTTTTTCTAGAGAATTTTTCGACAGTTGGCGACATTTATGTGGAATAATTTTACGAATAGGCGGCAGTAAAAATAAAAATAATTCTTATTTTCACATTTGAAAATGAATTGTGAAGAAAGTCCGTCACTAAAATTAAATTAACGCCAACTAATTATTACAGCCCTCAAATGACGTCATTTGGGTGCTGGAATAGGCTTATTCTAACACCGAAATAGAAAAGAATGTATTCTACCAAATTAAATATTAAAAAAATATATATAATTGTATAATTGGTTGCCTATACAAGCAATTGGTTTGTTGTGTTAATCATTTGCTTTGTTTGAATTATGTTTTTGATTAGATTAGCAAAACAATAATTATTTTTGTTTTATTTACTACTATTTATTTGTTAATAAATTTTTAAAAATAGTTGATATTCCGGGCAGTTTTAAATTCCTGGGGATTTTGACTTTAATTTGGTGCCGACATAAAACTGTCATGTGTCAAATTCAAAATGTCGGATCAGCTTTGGTTATAATCTATCGCTGATAAAAATAGCATTATTTGGCTATAAATAGTGTTATCACATTAATATAAAGGTAGAAATTTATTACTCCCGTTTTTCGGGGCTCCGCCCTATCGAAATTTTGCCAAAAAATCGTACTTTTAGATGTCAGCGAGCACAAGTCCGTCGCATTACACCGAAGACGCTTTCGTGACAGATGCCAACTTCAAAGTGGAAATTAATCAAAAAATGAAAGTTCCGGACAAGATCAGCTTCAACACGGACTTGAATGGGGCCACCCAGCCTGCCTGGAACCGCGACAACATCAACATGCAAGTCCCTGAGAGAATTCTCGTTGTGGGACAACACCAGCACATTGGTAAGTAGTTTTAAGCTGGTTGGTGAGTTCTGACGGAGGTTGTAGGCACAAGGGCACCGCCACGCGAAATTGTCTTTGATAATTCGATTTTGCCGCCAGAGCCCTACCCCGGGGATGTGCGAGTTGCGACACCGCCCAGGACTTTGACTCTGGACAAGTACCCATTTCCCACACTTGAGGAAATGGAAGATCCGGAACTGAACCAGATTCCGGTTGTTAAACCAAAGAAAAAACAGACTTTTGATGATTCAGATTTGAATCTGACAATACGGGAGACTACGCCTCCGATTGGGGGTAGTGGCGAGAGGCTGACGCCTGCCGAAGAGGTGTTACATCTCAGGAGGCAAATGGCGAAGCTCAACAGACGGGTGATGGCCTTAGAATTAGAGAATTTGAGCCGGCTTCAAAAGGAAAAGTTTTTAGTAGGGTTTGGAGTCGCTTATTTGTTGTTGAAAGTCATAATTTGGATGAATAGAGAGTAGGGGTCACTAGTGAGTTTATTTATCCCTAAGTTAGGAATAAAATTGTATTGACATTAATTAGATTCTGTTATATAAGCATCATTTCCTAATTTTCCAAGTTTTTATTAATAGTCTTGTAACCGATTTTTTTGAATATAATTATCACAATTATGTAACTATTATTTTAGTCAAAGTCCATTTTAGGCTCAGCAGTTTCAGCGTCTCGACATTTCGCATTTTGAAGCTCTCTTCTGATTTCAGGTGTTATCGCATGATGACTCTGTTTCTTCAATAACTCTAATAACCTATCTCTTTGCTCGCTTGAAATATCAGCTTTGTATCTTTGAACAAAAGTGAGAAAAGCCTGATGCCACAGAACGGGTAATTCCCTAGAATCTCGTTCAAATCTCAAAAAATGAAATACTACCGCGTCCACGACGCGATACGGCAAAGCGTATCTCTTATCAAAGAAGATTCGCAAAAAAATCGAATTTGCGCCAGTGTAATCCATTTCTGCAATTTTCAAAATCGCTGCTGATGAATGCAAGATAGGGATTGAGTTTCTAGCGACAACAGAGCCGATTATGATGGCCTCTCTAAGTGTACAATCGCCACTTTCAAGCAGTGGTAGTAGAATCCCCTTCATAAAGCCCCCAGGTTTGAACAGAGATTTCCTCAAAGCTTGGTATAAATGGAAGTTTAATCTTTTATATTCGGCCAAATCGTCACGAATTCGGGGAAGTAAAACCAGATTGTAGAACCTCTGAGCCATTTTTTCCTTGAGATTTGAAGCGAAGATACGTGTAGCTTGGTACATGGCAGCGGCTGACCAACTTGGAGGATCTAAAATTTATTTTTATCACCGGCAATTACCTTCAATTTAAATTACCAGTGATGTATAAAATCTGTTCCCAATTCCGCAAATTGGGGATGATTTTAAACGCTTTAGGCAACTTTCCGCTTCTGTATTTTCTCAAAACATCCCTAACCCCTTGATACATTTGTTCTACCCGTGGATCCAATTCCTGCATCTTCACTGAGCCCTCGTCGCTGAAATGAGTCTTAACTTCTGTAAGTTTCTCAGCTAAAATGTCCCCCAAAGTCCTCCTGGGGGCCAGATTACTACTCATGAACTTCTCCAAAGCTTTCTCATCTTCTTCATTAATGTCAATGTTTTCGTAAAACGTGTCCGGTTCAAGGGTGTCTTCTTCTTCTTCAGGTTCGGAGTCGTCATCGCTCAATTTGGACACTTTAAACTTGCTTGAACTTGCCTCAGATGGCGTGGGGCCGAAACTTGAGTCTAATTCACGTTGCTGCTCTCGGGCGGCTGTGAGAATTTTCCTCGAAAGATTCGAGTCAACAAACTAAAATTTTTAATTGGTTTTAGACAATTTTAAAGCAGGATACAGACTTGTTCTTCGTCGTCTTGCCTCAGGCGAATTTTGTTGCGGTTTTTCGATTTGGCGAATTTTGCACCTTCAATATCTTGATCTAGAGGCACCTTCGCGCCCATTTGAGACGGTTTCAGACGCTTTGCTTTGCCCATTGTTGCAAATTTGTTTACAACACGTGTTTTAAGCCTTCAAATGACTTGAACTTAACCTAAAAGGATTTGACAGATATTTGAGTTGGTGACATTGGCAGTACTACTGCATCAGTGACTGCAGTATAAATAAATAATTGAATAAATAAAATAGAAAAACACCATCATCACGAACAAGTCAAATCAAGTTTAGTATTTTGAAAACTGCTTGTTTTAACAATTTACTGATCAAACTAATATTTATTTAAAAAATATATAAAATTAGTTAGGGATTTTGTTATTTTTTGTATTATCCCAATTATCCCTAGAAGTCAAGATGGACGACACCATCTTCAATTCTTGTATTGTTGGTGCATAATAGACAGTTTCTTCTAATAAAACGGTAATTTATCACTTAAAATTTTTATAATTATTCTTGTACTACATTAGTTCAACACTTAATTTTTTTATTTTTTACTAAATTATAAATAAAGAAATACCAGCTTCCATTTTTTTCTTTAGGTGTTGGCAATTTTCGCCCTACAATGAAGCCCCTTGGGTCGACAGTTTGATTAAATTCTGACGATTCCTTACATTAAAGCTGCTTAAAGGCTTGCCTGTGTGTTAATGTTTTAAAAAATTGTAAATCCGAATTGGGCAAACATGTTCAACAGCAGCCTTTTGTACGAAAAACGGCCTTTAAAAAAGCCGAAAATCGGCCCTCCGGATGTTTATCCACAAGAGCCGAAACAAAAAGAGGACGAATTGACGAGTGTCAATGTAAAACATGGATTCCTAACAATGACCCATTTAAGTGACGAATTTGGTACGGCAAGAAATTGCAATGTTTCAGCTAGCAAAGTTGGGGATTATTTCAATGACATTATCAAGCGGAAGGAAGAGTTGAGTATGTTACCGGATTCACTCAGGAAGAGGCCACAAATCAACCCTAAAGACAACTTCTGGCCTGCTACAATAAGGACCAAAAATGCCATAGAATTGTGGTTTAAAGATTTAGCTGGAAACAAGCCTTTGATGCATTTGTCGAAAAAAGCGCCAAATTTTAATAAGAAAGAGGAGATTTTTATCATGCTGTGCGAGTATCAGGTGCCTATGATGCGAGCCGCCTGGTTTATTAAATTGAGTTCTGCTTACACGGTTGCTGTTTCTGAGGCCAAGATCAAGAAAAGACAAATGCCGGACCCTACCACAGGTTTTTATTTTTACTTTTCTTTCAATTGTAATGAGTTTTTCTTATAGAATGGACAGGTACTTTATTGAAGTTTCTCAAAGAACAAATACTAAAACTCCAAGATTATTACTCTCTAAGTGAGAGACCTCCTCAAACTCCGTCACTTACTCAAGCCGCTACCACGGAAACTGACCAAAAATTTGCAATGCGGCATTGGATATACTGCACACAGTTACTTAAATATACGTACGAGGAGGGCCTCATGGACAGGCAAGAAGTCCTGACTTGGATTTTGGAACTTTTGGAAAAAATGAGGTCACAACCTTCTGATGACGGGATTTTACGTCTTTTGATGCCCTTATGTTTGCAATATTTGGACGAATTTGTCCAATCTGAATTATTATCGCGACGTTTGGCTCACTTGTGCTGCAAAAAACTGGGTTACATGTTGAACAACGTCGCTGAAAATAATTTAATTACGTCACCTCAAAGTGAGTCCAAAACTGAACAAAAAGACAGTGAAAAAGAGAAGAAGGACGTTCCGGCGACCAATCCTATGCAAAGTACGCTCATGGAGTACCAAAATTGTCCTCACCATCGAGATATCGGTAGTAAACAGTTTTTTTTTTTAATATATAATTTTAAATGTTATTTTTTCTAGTGTTACAATTGAGCACAGTTATCCAAACTATAACTCTAGAATGCCCAACTGCTCTAGTTTGGTGTGGTACCGGCATTGGTAGTGTTTGGTACGGCTCTCCCCTAGATTTACTACCAATGATACCATCGTCGCTCCCAATGGCAGCTCGTTGTGACATGAATACCTACCGAAAACAATTGCAATTTGCCGAACATTGCATCAGAGAGAGGAGTAAGAGGGCGGAAGGCCGGTGGTGTACCGAAAAGTGGCAAAATTCATCTGCCGGTAATACAGTTACTTGTAATTTAAAATTATGGAATTGGAATTTTTGTGTAGGAACAATCACGAATCGTGTGTTGGCTGCTTTAGACGCCCTCGACCGCCATCGTTTTGACAAAATGGACTCTACAAACTCTCTCGACACACTGTACACTAAAGTTTTTGGTGGAAATAGCGACCAGGAGAATTCCGTGGTGAAACTACTGTGTGAGTGGGCCGTTTCGCCGGAACGAACTGGTGAACATCGAGCTCTGGCGGTGGCGGCGCTTCTTGATCGCCGCCAATCCGATTCGGCCACAAACGGAGATCAAGAAGCCACTCCTGGAGATGATAAAGACTCGAATTGCTCTGTGCCAGGGGGTCCCCCTATGTTCCAACAATTGTTGATGAAATTTCTAGACAGTGATGCCCCTGTACCGGCTCCTGATGATTGTCCTCAGAAAAAAACAGCGTTTTCGAATTTAGTTCATTTATTTGCTGAGTTGATAAGGAGGGATGTTTTCTCGCATGATGCTTACATGTGTACGTTGATATCGAGGGGCGATTTGTTGGGGCCTGAGGAAACCACCGATGTGACTACAAGCCACCAATCGCATCACACGAAATTAGAGGTTGTTACTTTGTTTGGTAGTAAGTTATATTCAGGGTTTTTTGTTTTTTTAGGACCATTCACATAATATGGATTTTGATGATGCAACAATTGACCACGATTTAGATAAAATTTTACAAAACATTAAAGAGGACCAACAAAATTCTATGGACGTGCCTGATAGTCCTAAAGAACACGACCATGGGCACCACCCGCACCAATCTTCCATCGGTCACGTGCCCATGGAGACTGACCATAACGACCATAAAGTCAAACCGTCACGCCATCTTCTCTACACCACCCATTTCCCCTTGTACCAGGACGACCCATTTTCGCAACATGACTGTAATCAGCGACATGTCCTTCTCTACGGAGTGGGAAAAGTCCGAGATGAGGCTCGACACACGGTTAAGAAAATGTCAAAAGAGATTTGTAAACTATTTTCGAAAAAATTTAGCATAGATGTCGCCGAAGGCGGCAAAGTTAAGAAACATTCGCGTAACGAATTCAATTTCGAAGCTACCACACAGAAATGTCAAAGTTTAAGTTACTTCGACCAGCACTTGGTCACGTGGCAGTGCAGTGTGACAGTTATCGAAATGTTGAATTCTTTTGCCACCGGAAATTCGAATTATTTGCCAGTCCAAGAGCACGTAGCGTTTCTTTTTGATTTAATGGAGTTGGCGTTGAATATTTACGGCCTAATAGATGTTTGTATCCAAATCTTGAAAGAACTTCCAGAAGTTGAGACACAATTATATAATAAAAACTCAGTTTTGACCCGAAATTATACAACTTCCTTGAGTCTTTACGTGGTGGGAGTTTTGCGACGATATCATTGTTGTTTGTTGTGTAAGTTTTTAAGTATTTTTGCTCGATGGAATAGACAAGAACGATTGTTTTAGTATCACCGGAACAAACCTCTGCCGTTTTTGAAGGCCTCTGCAAGGTCGTCAAACACGTGAGCAATCCGGGCGATTGTAGTTCCGCCGAAAGATGTATTTTGGCCCACTTGTATGACCTTTACTCGTCTTGTAGCCTTTTAAAATCGAAGCCTCACACGGGTGAGCCTTTTGGAAATGCTTACCCGAAAATCCGGCAAGCTTTATACACTGCATTGCAACCGACGCCGAGTAGTAATTATGTATACAACTCGGGTTACATGCAGGAAGTTTTCACCAATCCGAGACGGGGCGGTCGAATTGAGAGTTCGTGGGCGAGACCTTTGAACGAAAGTGCAAATAATAGGTGCTCGTCATTGGTCGATTTGCATTTGTTTTGATTATTTTGTTTTCAGATATTCGTTTGTTAGCAATGCGGTTATCTACGTTTGTCGTGAAACAGATAACGAGAGGTTGAACGATTTGGCGATAATGTGTGCCGAAATGACGGCATGTTGTAACTCATTGGCGTCGGAATGGTTGGGGGTGTTGTTGGCGCTGTGTTGCCCCATTGCCCATCCTGGATATTACACGGATGTTTTGGCACAGCTTGATATACAAGTTCGTTGTTTTTTATTCAAAGGTGAAGACAAAAATATTTTTTTTCTAGGATGTGAGCATACATAACGCTTTAGCCGTTTTCACTTGTATTCTAATCGCGAGGCATTGTTTTTCGTTGGAAGATTTCGTAGGGAGGGTCGCTTTACCCAGCCTGTTGAAGGTGAGCAGTTTGAATCGAGAAAGAGTCGGAGAAATTGGGAAAATAATTCAACATCTATCATGTAGTTAATTATTACGAGTATATCACACAATGACAATATAGTTTATAGATTTTTTTACGAATTGTTTAGGTTAAAACGTTGGATAATGGTAGCGGAGCAGCAGAGGGTGGCATGCGCCTCACGTGCCACCTTCTTCTCCGTCTCTTCCGCACGGCTGAGGGCCCCCAGCCCGGCTTATATTCTGTCGGTTCGCCCCCATTGACCGCTCCTAGGCCCCCTTTGGGTGTGCGTCTTAGCTGTGACCGTCACTTGCTTGCTGCCGCCCATCGAAACATCCACGTAGGTCCGGTTTTAGCTGTTCTCAAAGCCGTTTTGATTGTCGGCGACGCCACAGCTCGTGAAGGCACAGAACTCAGCATCTCGCATATTCTGGGCACCAGTGATCTGATGAGTGGTGGTGACGGGCCTTCCCTGGATCTGGCGTAAGTCTCTCGTTAGGTAGAAATGTCTCACGACGATTGATTTTTGTTTGTTTATTTATTTTTTTAACGGGATTTGATTTGAAATTGGTTCTGTTCCGTCAGGGTAGACATGGAGGTCTGCGGCTCCAGGACGGCCCATAGGTTTGTCGATGATTCAATATAAGCTTTGCTTTGATTGTGTCACCTGTGCTTGCACATTCATTTGTTTTTTGTAAGATCCGGACGCAGTTTTTCGCTTACACACGACACGTAATTGAAACAAAAGCGAATCGGAGTGTAGGGACTCGGGTTTTGTTTTGTTTTGTTTTGTTTTTCTCATTTCCGACAGTTTTTTGTTTTTATTATTATTAATTACGTGATTTCATTGGAAATGAGGAATTGTTTTATTTAATTTGGGAGAGCCATAGACTTTATCTTTGTCAATTTGAAGAAAATCAAAAGAGATCACCACCATCCTGGCTGCATTGCTAACTAGACGGTGTGATAGTCGATATTTGTGTAGAAAATGCATGTTAACCTTTAGCTTAAAAGCATGCAGTCATTTCTGACTCGTAACTCGACCAAATCAAAACATAGAGGGCAGCACTTGTGCCTACTTGCAGCAAAAATAAAGTGCATGGCCCGTTTCTAAAATGGGAATTTAGTTACTTCGCTTTACTACCGGTGTGTACTGAGTGAATCAACAAATTGAATTCAATTTTTTAGTTCACTCTACTATTATTTCTCCCTTGTTTTGTAAATAACGCATAGACTTTTCCGGAGTACTCAATGTCTTGTGATAATATCTTCGTCAACGTTTGATATTTTCTTTTCTTCATAACAACTTCTTCATTTTTACAACAGACAATCAAGCACGGGAAACGCTGAAAGTACAGCCTCCTTATCGGCGTTCGCTTGTCACGTGTTGCGTGAGATTTGCTCTCAACAGTGGGTTCTGGAGCGTTGTCTTTCTCACCCGGAGGAACTCTGCGACTCCGATAACCTTCTCGATCCCCTTTTATCGCACTCCCAAGCTCAAAGACTGCTTCACATGATCTGTTACCCTGACGCAGGAACCAGTATTGAAGAACTGGACCAGAAAAGTATGATAAGTCGGATATTAGAGGTAATGGTAGGCCACGTCATATTTATTTTAATTCTGTATATTTTATTGGTTACCAGAATTTGGAACAATGGACGTTGCGTATGTCGTGGCTCGATTTGCAATTAATGTTTCGACAATTCACCCCGAATTCGCAGGAGTTGTCCCAGTGGTTGGACACTGTGGCCAAAGCCGCCATTGATGTTTTCCAATTGAATTCATCTTCGTCAAATTCGCCCAAATCTGATGAGAAAAAACCTGAAATTAAAAATCGTGCGCAGAACTCAATTTGGTTGGTGGCGCCTCTTGTGTCGAAGCTGCCAAGTGCGGTTCAAGGACGAGTTCTTAAGGTTGCTGGTCAAGTTCTTGAGAGCGGCGGTTGGTGCAAGGAAACGAAGAGTAAGGGACGTGGAGGGAATGACAGTCATAGTCTCTTGAGTCATCAGCCTTTCCTTACTTTGGTTTTGACCTGTTTGAAGGGTCAAGAGGAGGGTCAAAGGGAAGGTCTTTTGTCGAGTCTTCACCAACAGTTATCACAATTAGTACAACTGGCTCGTGACGGCAATTTGCAAGATATTTGCAACAGCGAACGCACCCTCGACGGGTTGCAGTTGAGATTTGCGCTGGTAGGAGGCGTGTTTGAGGCATTTCAGAGGAATCCATCAGCCACCACCGACTGGGCTTTGCTTTTGGTGCAGTTGATAACGAATGGATTGATCGATTTACATACGCATAGTGAGTTATTTACCACTGTTGTCGATATGTTGGCAACACTGATTCATTCAGCATTGGCGACTGATAGTCAGGTGTTACAATTGATTCGATTGGTTTTTGTTTTTTGTTACCGATGGATTGTTTCAGGATGAGGGCAGGAAGATGTATCAGAATTTGATGAAAAAACTGAAAAAGGAAGTTGGGGAGAGACACAACGCATCGTTGCAACACGTGAGACAATTACTTCCATTACCGAGGTCCGTAACTGAAATAATTGCCGTTGAACCCATCGGCTGGGTCACCGATGGCAAAGGAAACAAAATCAGTTTTGATAGTTTAGATAAGAAACATGGGTTTCAGGTCAGAAATTTATTTCAATTTTTTTGCGATATTAATTATTAGATTAGGTGACTGACAAGCAACGTGTGAGCAGTTGGGACATTCTCGAAGGTATGAAAAATCCAGCTCCTTTGTCGTGGGCTTGGTTTGGGGCTGTCCGCCTCGAACGGAAACCTTTGACCGGGGAAGACAACCACCGCCTTCTCAAATACCACACTCACAACCTCCAACGACCTCCATCGCACTACTTGGACCCTCCACCACTCCCTCCGGAGGATTTGGAGCCCGTCCCCGACAAACCGGTAATGTTTTATCCAGTTTTTATTTTTTTCTTGGTGCATTACTCGTATCTCTCGAGTTTCCCAGAGCGGTCCTTGAGCACCAAATTGTCATAGATGTGTAGATTTGTGTACTGTGTAACCTCCAGCTAAAGGACTGTGACCTGAAGGCGGACACTCCTTCTTCCGTGGACCAGAGCCCAGCTGCCATGGGCAAAGGTCGTGGTAAAGGTCAGCGTCGGCCTCGCAAACCTAAAACCGTCCCGGGACAACTTCCTGTCAATCCCATGGGCATGAACCAGCCCCAGATGGGTCAAGGGCAAATGCCGATGCAGGTGCCGGGACCGAACCCACAAATGCACAATATGGGGGGCTATGGACAAGGTCCCATACCGCAACAAGGCCAACAGTATGGTAACAACCAACAGCAATGGTACAACCAACAGCAGCAACAACAGAATTATTATCCGCCTCAGATGGCCAACGGTGAGGGAGTTTTGAAGCTTTTGAAGAGTTGAACAAGGCGTTTTGTGTTGCAGTTAACCGCTTCGAAAGGCCGCAACAGATTAATCAATCCAAGCAAGCGCTTTCTAATTTGCTGCGTTCGAGGCATCCTTTGAATATGGGGCCAACAGGCCAAACCCCGCAAGGGCCGGGGCCCCAAGCTAACTACGGACCGATGAGAAGTTTCCCGAGGCAACCAATGAGGCAACAACATCCAGGTGCAATACAGCAAAATCAGGTAGGGTTTTATTGTTTGTCGCGTTGGTAACAATTTTTGTTTGAAATCAAGTCATCACTTTTGTTTCGAGTGTCAATTAATTTTTCTCCAAACAAAATCAAATTTTTGTGTTTTTAAATTGTAAAATGGCTTCAATTTGTGCCAATTTACTTTAATTTGATTTAATTTTAATTCCAGAACATGTTCCCACAGCAGTACGGCTCAATGCAAGCCGGTATGAACCAGTTGTATGGCAACTACGGGGGCACTCCCAACACGATGATGCCCAACAACATGCAGGCGAGTCAGCAGATGATGCAGGGCTCCCAACCAAATATGTTCGCTGGTCAACAGCAAGGATTCGGGCAGCCAAGGCCCCCGCAACCCGACTACCGCGGAATGGCCCAAAACCCCCGTACGCAATATATGCAACAAGCGCCAAATGTGACAATGAATGCGAATATGAACACCATGGGTGGGATGGCGGCACAAGGGGGCCCAGCGCCGCCCTACTCAAGGCAAACACCGCAAGGAATGCAACCGGGAGTCCAACAACCGAATCAGTTCCAACAGCAGAGGATTAGACAGCAAATGATGGCTATGCAACAACAGCAGCAGCAACAACAAGGGGGCCCACAGGGGAACACACCCTCATTAGTGGCACATTTACAGAGGCAAATGAATCCCAATCCGTATCAGCATCAGCCACCTCCATATAATATGTAAGAGTGAAAGTCGTGTGTGTTGTGAAGTGTGTAAATAAATTTATTTACATGAAATTGTGTTTTTTGTTATGAAATAAATAATTTAAACCCCTGATTGTGTTTTATTGTTACGCTTCTGGCGGGTGCGCAAGCTCGTGCGCATCGCAGGTGCTTGTTTCCAATCGTTCATTACAAAATAAGGTCTTGTTTTAATTAATTCATGTCAGAGATTTATTTGGTCCGCTGCACTATTATGAAAATGATGAAGAATGCTGCCAACCTAAAATTAATTTATGCACAACTGTCATTTTTAGTGTGAAATTTAACCGGGCGTCAGTGATGGCTGTCTCCTATTAATAAACAATTTTCCTTAAATTTTCATTAATTTAACGTGAAAATGCCTCGCGTTAAAGCCTCTCCGAAAAAATGCATCAAGTCCAACCTTCAACAGCCGACCAATTCCTGGGTTTTCCTTCTCAAAGGTAAAAAATAATGGGATTTTTTCCAGCGGTTGTTTTGTTCTCTTTGTATTTTTTCCGGATTTGCGTTTTGTTTTCTTTGTGTCGACGTAAAAACTCGATATTGATGAATTCGGAACGGCGAGTCTCGCGGGGACTTTCAGTCAGGATTTTGATGTAAAAGGTTTGTTTACATTTTTTTCGTGTTTAGGTGAAGCTTTGGAACTTAGCGAGCAGTACACGGGGACTGGAACCCCCGACATTGTCACCTTAAGACACCCAAACACGGGCGAATCTGCCGTGTTTTTATTTTCACCTGCCAATAATTCTGTACAGGAAATCTTGACTTACAATGAAGCGAAAAGGTCATGGTTTATTGATGAGACGGTCAAAAGCGACGGGAAAATGCACCTGTCGACCCCCATAGACCCTATTTTCTTAGGTAGGCTTCGCCAGATCTCAGTTTCAAACAATAATTAATAAAATTAATTTTAGTGTTACCATATTTGAGGAAATATTGCAGCAGCCAAGCAATACCTTTAGACCAACTTTTACGAGACGAGGAGTTTCCAGAGACTGAAAGATTACTAAAATCCAGTGGTCTCAAGTATTTAAATATGATAGCTGACAAAAAAGTGAGTCACAACTTTGCATTGTTTCTATTTTATACAAAATTATTTTGCAAGGGCGATGAAGAGCTCAACGCTTTCAAATACAACGAAGAAAAAACCCTCTCGTGGCTGAAAAAGAAGACAGAGCGTGTGGCTGAAATCCTCAAACAGAAAAATATTCACGTGGGTTCAGGCGCCGTTTCTGCAACTTTTGTAAAATCATCCAAATCAGAATCTTCAGACTCGGACTCACATTTACGATACGCTCACGGAATCGTGTCGGAATATTTAATGGACGATCTTAGTCAAAAACTCCTCAAATACCTGAATTTGCCTGACGACCCCCAGTTTAATTTAAAACGAAAAAGCACGAACCCCCTGTCCCCCAACGAAGCGAAAAAAACTAAACTCGAGGAGGAGAACAAGAGTAGCACTTCAAATGTTCTCGACTTGAGCAAACCTGAGCCTAAATCAGCGAAATCTCCTGCTGTTAGCGCCAAAGATAAGGCTCGAGCCAAGGCGGCGAGTGGCAGTAAGACTATAAGTTCCTTCTTTAAGAAGACTTAGAGGTGAGGCGCTTAGGTCAATTGTAATAAGTTTGCTTGTTTAATCGCGGACAAGGTTGTTACATTTAGGATTAAATTAGGTACTAATTGCTCATCTCCATTTCGATACTTGTGTACAGTTGAATCAAAWCTTGTCCGGCCGCTGGACGTAAAASTGAAACGAATGGCCTTTTTCAAATGGAATTTTTCTCGTTTTAAACGAGCCTAAATTGCAGAAACGCGGTTTGGCCCGCCCATGTGTCTTGCGTTTTTGATTTGGGCTAGTTTTTATCAGTTCTTCCGTTGCGTCAGTATTAATTTAATTGTGATAGTTTCAGTTTTTTTTTTGTATATATAACAGTAATTTTGGATTGCATTGAGTGCAATACTTTGTTTTTAGATATTTTCACATTGAAAAATTTCGTTTCTTCTTCCGATTTGCTGTGCAAATTTTCATCACGTTTTTACGCAAAAGAAAAACTCCAAAAATTTGTTCCTAAGGTCACGAAACAATGACTGATTCTCTTATAGCGAATAGTAAGTGTTAGAGTTCAATGTACGGTGAAGCAATTTCTGATTAGTTTTTAGATGGCAATACAAAAACTATGATCAATAATAAGTAGATATGTGTAACAAACATTTTATTTTTTTAAGTATTTTCACTCGTATGTATGTGAAGTTTCTAGATTAGGGATTTTTATTGTTGCATTTTCGTCGTTATGTGTACGTGATACATGTATTTAACGGAAAACGAAAAAAATGTTTCAAAAAAAAAAACACTAATTGTTATAGTCTTCCCCATTTTTACGTTTCTCCTCCAATTCCTTGAGTTGTTTCCTCACTGCTTCAATTTCCTCATCCTTGACGGTGACTTCAACTCCACACTCACTTTGCTCATTTTTTATAAACTCGAGAGCTCTGATTTTTTCTTGCAAAAATACAGGTTGCTCATTTTGTAACATCTGTTTATAGTCTTCAAGTCGGCGTTGCTTAATATCCTCGCAGTAATTATTCGTCAATTTCCTTAAAGACTCCTTCCTGGTGATCCAATGGAAGTGTTCAGGAGGCGGTTTGTACACAATTTTCAACGCTTCCAGTAACCATTCAAAACGTTTGTAATCCCACCKTCGCAAATACTTCAATTTCTTTTTCCTTCTATCGATTAGCTCCTTCAAAATAACTTTCATGACTTTATTCCTAGGAAATTTTTCCATCAACTCCTGGTAAGCTCTGATTATTGCGGTCCATCTGGCAATTTGGACTTCAACAGAACCCGTATCGAACGAATGCCTCTTTACAAGTTGCTTCATTTCATAGCCATACACTTGGGTCGTCTTCCTACGGGGGGCATACTCTAACGAGAACAATTTTTTCACGGTTTCGTCGGCCGTTTCCAACTCTTTCGAACCACGGAAGGGGAGTTGAGGCTGGGACGGGTCGATGTGCATCATGCCTTCAAGATCACCGCTTTTTTCCGGCTTAATACAAGAGATTTTCTCCGGACGGACCCATTTGATTTTTAAATCACTCTTGAAGGCGTAAGTGCGGGCCGACTTTAAGGTTAAAGCCCCCAAGCGAACTGAAGTTAACACGTTCCGAACGACGTTCATAGCTAAAAGGGGGCTATCATTAATGCTTGAACTAAGTGTGAGGTTAGGGCGAAAATTGACTAAGCAAAGCCGCCAACCTGACAAAGCAATAATTGCTTTGTTTATTTAAAAAAATATATAAATTTAAGGCAGTAAATGCACTAGTTTAATTTTTATTAATCTCTGGTAATTTTGTGCAAATTTTAACGTTTAAATTAAACACAGAATTTGATTTTTTATTTCAATTTTACAGAGGATTTGTTTCTTGGAGTTTGGAGGTACTGTGCGTTTGCGCAGTGGCGACCATTTTTTGCCATTGTTTTTTCACACGTGAACGTGTTCGGTGAGGTTAATTAATTAAAAAGTTAAAAAGTAAGAATGGCTGATGCAACCAGTGAAAAACTATCAAAGAAGTAAGTTGATTACAATTATCCAAAATTGAGCCGCTTTTTTTTCTGTTCTTTTATACAAATTGTAGTCGAAATAACTTTGTATAATGTTGAAAACTCTCTCTGTACTTTTTCGTCCAAGAGTTTGGAAATTCTCTCAGTTGACTAAAAGGTATGTCTCGGACTCAAACCTTGCACTAATAAAGCTTTATTTCCGCTTTACAGTGAGCTGAAACGACGCTTAAAAGCTGAACAAAAAGCGAAAGAGAAGGCCGAGAAAGTCGCCCAACAGCCGGTCGAAACAAAACCTAAAGAAAAGAAAGAATCGGAGGAAGATATCACTCCCAATGAGTTCTTCAAGCTCCGCACGCAAATGGTGGCAAACCTCAAGTCTCTGGGAGGCGACAACCACCCATACCCCCATAAATTCCACGTGTCGATTTCGCTGCAAGAATTCATCGAAAAATATTCGGATCTCAAGGATGGGGAAGTCGTCGAGAAGGATAAATTAAGCGTTGCCGGTCGCGTCCACGCAATTCGTGAATCAGGGGCTAAATTGATTTTCTACGATTTGAGGGGCGAAGGCACCAAATTGCAAGTTATGGCAACGGCGCGGAATTACGGTGACGAGGCGAAATTTGCCGAAGATATCGGGAAAATCCGACGAGGGGATATCATAGGTGTGGAGGGGGTTCCCACAAAGACGAAAAAGGGAGAATTGTCAGTAATGCCAACCAAAATTAAGATACTATCCCCATGTTTACACATGTTGCCACATTTRCATTACGGTCTCAAGGATAAAGAGACGCGTTTCAGGCAGAGGTATCTTGATTTGATAATGAATAGCCGAGTCAGGGAGATTTTTGAAATTCGGGCGAAAATCATTTCGTACATGCGGCGGTTTTTCGACGAATTGGGATTCCTGGAAGTAGAGACGCCGATGATGAACATGATCGCAGGGGGGGCCACCGCCAAGCCCTTCATAACTCATCATAACGAATTGAATATGGATTTGTTCATGAGAGTGGCTCCGGAACTGTACCTTAAAATGTTGGTCGTGGGGGGCTTAGACCGTGTTTACGAAATCGGGCGTTTGTTTCGCAACGAAGGAATTGACTTGACCCATAACCCCGAATTTACGTCTTGTGAGTTTTACATGGCTTACGCAGATTATCACGATTTGATTGCAATCACCGAGGCGCTTGTCTCCGGGATGGTTAAGAGTATCCATGGGAGTTATAAAATCAAGTATCATCCAGAGGGTCCCGAGGGGGAGGAGGTCGAAATTGATTTCACTCCACCGTTCAAGCGGATCCCGATGATCGCAACATTGGAAGAGATCCTCAAAGTGAAATTCCCTTCACCGGAAGATTTGAGTTCAGATTCGGCGAATAAATTTTTGAGTGATCTTTGTACGGCGCATAATATCGAGTGTCCCTCGCCGAGGACCAGTGCGAGACTTCTGGATAAGTTAGTCGGGGAGTTTATCGAGGAACAGTGCGTTAATCCCACTTTTATTACCGAACATCCCCAAATTATGAGCCCCCTTGCCAAATGGCACAGGTCGATACCGGGTTTAACGGAAAGATTTGAGTTGTTTGTGATGAAAAGGGAGATTTGTAATGCTTATACTGAATTRAATGATCCAATGGTGCAAAGACAAAGGTTTGAGGAACAAGCGAAAGCCAAAGCCGCGGGTGACGATGAGGCCCAATTAATCGATGAGAATTTCTGTACGGCGCTGGAGTATGGTTTACCCCCGACAGGGGGCTGGGGCATGGGGATTGACAGATTGACGATGTTGTTGACCGATAACAATAATATCAAGGAGGTTTTGTTGTTCCCAGCGATGAAACCAGATGATCCCAATAGGAATAAAGAGGAAGAGGCGAAGGAAAATGTGTGATTTATTTATTTATAGCTGAATATAAATGTGAAACTGGATTGAGCGTTCTTTATTTATTGCAGTTTTGACACACTYTTTGTTAAAATGACTCATTTTGAACAACTAATAAATTATGTTTTAAAGCAAGTTGTATTTTGAATTTTTGCAGATCCGGAATTTTGACATTTGGTTATAAACGGACCTTTACCAATCACCCAAAGAGCGAATCAATTGCGAAACTTTTATTTATGTAATAAATAAAATTACTTTTAATTGTTATTTTGATCACAGTGTTCGTCACCAAACAGGACAATGGCTCAGGTCCCAAAATTAAATTCGCAAATGTGTGAAAGCACCTTAATCTTTATTGTCATTACAGTCATTTTTTGACACTTCTAACCTGTGGTTCTAACCTCACAATCGGACCACTTTTTCCGATTGGATTTTCCTTAATTTTTCACTTAAAATCAGTGCAATGGAGTTGGAAACAAACGAAGAAGAGCTCCTCAAAAGACACAAACAAGAACGTAAAGACCTTCAGGCGAAAATCCAGTCGTTGAAAAAAAGTGTTACAAAAGGCGATAAAAAGAAGAAAAAAGAAGTTACTGAAGAAATCGCTCGCCTTGAGCAGGAACTCGAAATTAGACACTCCTCTGAACTCGAATCGCTCAAACCGGCCGCCGAGGAACCCACCCCTGATGATTCCGAGACTCCTGATGAACCCGAAGACAATCCTGACAATCAATCTGTTCGAGTGTCTCGAGCGGGTCGTAGGCGCAATAAAAAGGCTCAAGAGGAACGCGAACGCGAAAAACGCATTCAGGAGCAAGCCGAGAAGAACAAAGAGGGGCCCAGAATGACGGAGATGAATGCTATTAAAGAGGTTTTGGCGAAAATGGGGCTTCAGTTGTTTAATATTCCTGCGGATGGGAATTGTTTATATTGTGCGGTGAATCATCAGTTGGTCTTGACCGGAAGGGAAGCTTACACTGTTCCAAAATTAAGAAAATTAACAGCGGAATTTATGAAGGAGAATAAAGAAGAGTTTCTGCCTTTTATGTATAATGAGTCGGATGAAACGATTAGTGAGGAATATTTTGAATCGTATTGCAAGGAAGTGGCCACGACGAAACTGTGGGGAGGCCAACTGGAACTCAGGGCGTTATCTAATGTCTTAAAATGCCCTATCAAGGTTATACAATCAAATGGGCCCCCTACGTTACAAGGGGAGAATTTTGAAGGGCCGGAATTAATTTTAGCGTATCATAGACATTTATATCGGTTAGGAGAACATTACAATTCTACTGTGGTGCTGAAAGATGAAGATGAAGAAAAATAAAACACTGCCAAAAGTGAAGAAGTAAGAAGATTTCTGATTACGCGCCGAAACATGTATGAATTGGCGCGTAAAAAAAGTTAACTGCAGAGTGGAATAAAACTTTTGTAATGATGAAAGATTATATTGGTTTTCACGCTTCTTTCTTTGTATTTTTTTTATATAAAAAAATCGATTTTATGAACATTCGAACGCATCGGCATCCACCCAGCAACACTATAAAAATAGACCGCCAAAATGCGCATTCTCAGTATTTTTTAGCCGGTCTACAGCACTCGTGGTGGTTTTAGGTTAGGTTTAAATTTTACCGCTTAGTTCGTTTATTATTTTACGAAATATCTCAGAAAAAATGTCGAAGCCACCATTTAAAGTCGGTATGTATGCCCCCTGAGCCTCTTTTTGCGTACTTTAAAACTTCCCATTTAGCCGATTTGAAACTAGCCGACTGGGGCCGCAAAGAAATTTCCCTCGCCGAGAACGAGATGCCCGGTCTCATGAGTCTCCGCAAACACTACGGCCCCAAGAAGCCCCTCAAAGGGGCAAAAATCGCCGGTTGTCTCCACATGACCATCCAAACGGCCGTTCTTATCGAAACGTTGCGTGAGTTGGGTGCCGAGGTGAGTCTATTTTTGCACACCCTATTGTGTTTTTTTAYGATAAACTCTTGACCCCCGCAAAGGTTCAATGGTCAAGTTGCAACATATTTAGTACGCAAGATCACGCCGCTGCTGCTATTGCTAAGACAGGGGTACCCGTGTATGCCTGGAAGGGGGAGACCGATGAGGAATACATGTGGTGTATAGAACAGACGCTCCTTTTCCCCGATGGAAAACCGTTTAATATGATTTTGGATGACGGGGGCGACCTTACGAATCTGGTCCATCAAAAGTATCCCCAATATTTGAAGGATTGTAAAGGGATTAGTGAGGAGACCACCACTGGGGTTCACAATTTGTACAAAATGTTCAACGCGGGGACATTGAAGGTGCCGGCGATTAACGTCAACGATTCGGTTACAAAAGTAAGGAAGTTTAGTAAAACTCACGTCTGAGGCTTTCAAATAAATATTTTTATTATTGAAATTATTAAAATTCTTACAAGAAATGAATTCGAGGTCATATTAGGGAATAATGATGAATTATTAATTCTAAAAATTGTATTAAACAATATTTTTACTTAACTTTAAAAACCAAATAAGGTTATTCAAGCTTAGTTAGCATGACAAAAGAAACCGATACGATAGCGGTTGAGAAAATTTATTAATTTTTACAAATTCCACTTTAGAGTAAATTCGACAACTTATACGGTTGCCGAGAATCCCTAATCGACGGAATCAAGCGCGCCACTGACGTGATGTTGGCCGGCAAAGTGTGCGTAGTGGCGGGCTACGGGGACGTGGGCAAAGGCTGCGCCCAGTCGTTGCGAGCGTTTGGGGGCCGCGTCATAATCACCGAAGTCGACCCTATCATAGCCCTTCAAGCCGCCATGGAGGGCTACGAGGTGACCACCATGGACGAGGCGAGCAAAGAGGGCCAGATTTTTGTCACTACGACCGGCTGCAAGGATATTATCCTCGGCAACCACTTCCTCAACATGCGAAATGATAGTATCGTGTGTAACATCGGGCATTTTGATTGCGAGATTGATGTGAGTTGGTTGGAGAAGAATGCGAAAAGCAAGACGAATATCAAGCCACAAGTCGATCGCTATTTGTTGTCAAATGGCAATCATGTGATTGTTTTGGCCGAGGGGAGGTTGGTCAATCTGGGGTGTGCGACAGGACATCCCAGTTTCGTCATGTCGAATTCGTTTACGAATCAGTGTTTGGCTCAGATTGAGCTGTGGACGAAACCGGGGCAATACTCGGTGGGGGTTCATATGTTGCCAAAGATTCTGGATGAGGAAGTGGCAAGGTTGCATTTGGATCACTTGGGGGTTAAATTGACGAAGCTAACGCCAGAGCAATCAAAGTATTTGGGGGTGCCGGTGAACGGGCCGTATAAACCCGATCATTACAGATATTGAGCTAGGATTGTTTTCTGTACTTATTTTTGTGTATAATAATAAATTCATTAAAAGAATAAATACAATTTTTTGAGTGCAATTTTGGYCTTATTCTTTATTCCTTATTGAAAGTAATTAATTATGATGTATTAAGGGAATAAACAACTATTTTAATCCTGAGAGTCTAGATAATGCCAGAGGCCACTGAAAGAGCCGAGGACATTTTCATACGAGGATTGCATGATGTTTGTTCCATAACATATTTAGAAAAAATATTTAGTTTATGCAACTGCAATTTTCAAGAGTAATAAAAATAGGTGTCAAGGAGTTTGTTGATGTCAAAAAACACTCAAAAGTTTCAATTCCATTTTATTTTAGAGTAAAAATCGGTATTACATTTTCATTTTATTCTACAGAGAATAAAGTTCCAGTTTATTAATCAAAAAGGAGGGAATAAAAATAAAGCATCACTTTATTCCCTGTTGGGAGGAATATTAATTTATCGTTCTTTTGTAATAGTTCTGAAAAGTCATTAGAGAGTTTTTGCAAATCGTTTAATTTAACGTTAACCTTAACGACAACGTCATTTAATTGTCTTGTCAAGGGCGAAAGGCGTATTCCGTCAATTCAAAGACGTTTACGTAAACGTCTTATTTTTTAATTTCTTAGCAACGGCCATTTGTCGTAATACGTTAAATTTTTTTACGATTTGCAAAAATTCTCTAATTTAATTTCTAGGAAAGTACCTACGATACTTGTTACGAAGATAACTGTTTTTGTAAGTTATTATCTTAACAAGAATTATTATTTAATACTAGACATTGATTAAGTGTTTCACAAATTAGTTATAATGTTATAAATTATAATAAGGAAAACATGATTTTGTAATAATATCTATTTCAAAATCTTGTAAACAACAATGGAGATAAAAGGAAAAGTACTAAAGAAATAATTTTGGACTACTTTGGGTCTCTGGTTACAATTTGATTTTTTAAGTCCAAAATTATTAAGTTAAAAATATCAATATATTTTGAAATATCTATAATACCAAAATCTACTGCGCCTTTCACAATTGTTGACACAATTTAGTTTCTTCTGATGCCAACATAGACACAACCAACAAACTAGAGGTGACGGGGTAGAGCCTGCCAACTTTGAAATAAATTAAATGGCCACTATGAATTGACCAAGGACGTTATATCGGATGTTTCAAAAATGTGTGGCATAATTTTAACCACGAATACTCCTCTACAAATAAGAACAGATAGCACAAAATTTACTAACCTACCTCAAAAAATAGAAAAATTACAGCTTTCCAAAAATCGGTACGAAAAATGATTTTTTGGAAATATTTTTATTATCGTTTATCCCATTATTATGAAACTTTGCATGTCAAGGGACAAAAACACACTTTTTGATATGGTGTAAACGGAAGTCTTGTAAAAGCTATAAATTTCCGGTGACAATGGGACCTTTACAGTTTTTGGGTCATAACTCTTTTTCTCAGCCTATTAACACGTATTTTTCATGCCAAAAATCAAAAGTGCAATTATTTTTTTATAAAAAAGGTACTCTTGTTCCAATGAACCATTCACTGCCGAATACCATCGCGCTAATGTTTTTTCATGTGGTAAACTGTCGTGCAACTGTATTCTGACATAGTTATAAGCACGCGGAGAATAGTAATGAAGAGTGCAAGCAAATTTTTTTATATTCACGCCGTATTTTGCAGGCACCTTTTGGTTGTTCGCTTTTTAGAAGATTCGGTGAATTAATTCACCATTTTTTTCAGTAATAATAATAATAAAGTTGGTTTAAAATTTAGTACATTTTGCTCTACGACGTTTGACCACTGCGATCGCAACGCTGTTTGATTCGTAAGTTGGCGTTGTTAATCGAGTTGTGTTGTTTATAGTTTTTTATCCTTTACTGTTTTTTTTTTCATCGTATTACGGAAGAGTCCGGAGGCCTGTTAGAGGCTCTCTTTTCTATATCATACCCCTGATCCCCGTGCAGATAACTAACCTAACAACTACTAATAAAATAAGTGGTTAAGTGGTGAAATGAAATCAGTATGCTAGGTGTGTATATAGTGAACCAAGAAAGTTATCAACCATGGATAATTTTTTTTTTAATTCAGCCCAAAAACTTAACGGCTGACGGAAATATCAGCAGTCGAAAAGATCATTTCAACTTGCAAACGAGTGAATTTCCTTGCCTGTTTGTCTTGTTTGGGGCGAGATACGTAGATGCATACCTGAAGATTATGGGAAAATACATAATTGTGCAGACTCGAAAGCGAATACGCTTTTTACCACGTACAACGTTAATTAAAATTACTTTAAATGTGATAAGAGGCTACGAAAAGGAGAACACCAAAATAATTATAACTATGGAAAGAACTGAACAAGAAGTCGAAGAGGTAAAAGAAGGAGAGGCAGTTGAGGATGTTGAAGAAATTGATGGTTTTAGAATAAATTTGGAATTTACCAACTCCAACTACTTGGATGCGGCCTTCAAGGCTATCGAAGAATTTGCAAGGTAATAAAATGCAGCTTCATATCTTATACAGTTTCAGAATTTGCACTTCAGAGAAAAATGCCATGTAAAATAAGATACTAGGAARATACCATCGGTGGTCCTAAAAAAACTGGAATAAATATGACAATTGTATAAGTCAAAAAATAAGAAGTTTATATCGGCTAAATTTGGCTTTTTACATATAAGTTTATAAAAGTTATGACATATTGTAATAACATCAAGTTAAAGTTCAGTTTTTTAATGCTGTCTACATTTACAATAACACTTTGGGTTCAAAGAGCTTCAACTTTGGATGTTTCAGCTTTCAATCTCTACCAGTTTTAAAGGATTAGGCACACTTTATATGGGAATTTAAGAACCGCTCAAATTGGATAATTTTTATATCAATCGACGGGACTCAAAAAACTAAACAAATCATATCATTGCGCCAAACGTGTATCTTGATTAGGAACGCCAGAAGTCGCGATTGAATTTGGATTATTCCCACTGTTGGAGTTATTAACTTCTGTCCGCTTAAATCCCTATATCCATAAAAGTGTCTTTACTTATTTAGGATGGTTGTACAGAGAATAAATACAAAGGAGACCGATTTCTAAATTCGTGGTCTTATGTCTTTGTACCTGAACCCCAGTCCACTAGTTATAGTTATACGGCAATATTGCAAATCTCCAATATTTATAAGCTCTTTGTACAGACCAAAAAGCGGACACAAGACTTTTCTTATGGGATATATCTTGACTTTGATTGCAATTTCCGGCCCTCCTAATTACACGTTTGGAGCAATGATATGATTTGTTCAGCTTTTTGAGACGCCTTGATTGATATAAAAATTATCCAATTTGAGTGGCCCTTAAATTCCCATATAAAGTGTGCCTAGTCCTTTATTTAATTTTTTTACTTATTTATTGACTTGTTAATTCAAATGTCAATAAACTTCATTTTATGTGAGATAAAGTTGAACAAGTGTTTTGCAGTAGATTTTGTAGCGTGTGATTTTTTAAATTTCTGCTCTAGCTATACATGACGCTTACATCTTACATGATAGGCAATATACGTCAAAAAAAAAAACTGCAAAGAAGAAGTTACATTATGTACTAATTGTTATGTTTTGTTTCAGTGAAAAAATGGAAAATGCAATAATGCCCCCAAATACTTCTTCCTCGGATTAGGGCACAAAAGCGAAAGAAAATTGGGAACAACTTCTATGAAATTGCGAATGTTAAGTTTGTAACTTATTTTATACTCTTCAGTATAATATAAAGTTGTAAATAAACTGCATGCTTATTGTTTAGTGACTTTTGGTTAATAATGTTGGTCATTTTATAAATTCGACAGTTATTTTATTGTGAAAATACATCTATATGATATCCATATAACAAGTATCTAACATTACCTGCAAAATTTAAGTTAATTGTGATCATTAGTTTCCATATTTATAAAGGAAATTATGAGGAAAAATGAGTAACTTAAAATTAGAGTAAAGCAATGCCATAAAATTTTTGACAAAAGAGGGCCATTAACCAGAAAGAATCCGTGAGAGAATGAATGACGTCTAGAAGGATGGCACACGTTATATATCACATTACACAATAAAATTTTAGCCGAAACCACTACCGAAACAGTTAAGATGGGTTCGAGAATCCCCGAAGTGAAAGTGTGAAAAGACAACAATAAATGTGGACATCTATGCAAACACGTTGAAAATTTACGTAAAGCAATTCACCAGAAGACTCAGTTTTTTCTAATTGAGAAGTGTTTTCGCTGCATGGGAATGCGACCGTGCATAAGGCTGCCAAAATTAAGCAAACTTTGCWGCTTCGTTAAGACATACCATCTTCTCTATAGTCCGGACTTGCTTCCGCTAACTTTTATCTTTTTCGATTACAAAAGAAAAWTTTTAGAAAACGCCGTTTTGACTCTGATGATGGCCTAAAAGCAGCCRACAACGAATTTTTTGAGAGCCAAGAGWATATATTTTTTATAAAGATAAACTTTTAGTAGAGGAGAAATGTGCAAGTGTATTGATTGATGTAGGGAGGGATTTATATTGAAAAAATAAATTATCAAAAAATTGTACGTCTTTTGTTTAATTATTAGGTAGATTACTTTTGGTAGATTACTTTTCTAGTGCCCCTCGTAGTTATTACCTAAAAAGAAACCCCATGAAGACATCGCATATGTCAAGAGTGTTTATTCAGTTTAGTGGACTATGCATAAATTAGATCGTTTACTGCCACAAAACTAACCTAATAAGTAGTGAGTGAAAAAAAAAGAATACTAGATGAAAAAAGTTATAAACTTTTCAAAAAAGTTATAAACTGTTTTCACCACTAAAAACTTCAACAACAGTTCAACTTGTGAATATCCTGTTTAGTTTTGATTAAAAACCATATTTAGAGGCACGCTTCAAAATTATAGAAACTGTTTTTAAGAGGTACAGTGGCGAGCATAAAATTTTGGTAGGTAATGTCATTTTGGAACTTCATCTTTTTGTCAAAAAAAAAGTAGTTTCCCTGTGTAATTTTGACAAGAAGGTATATTACGGAATGACACTGATTACTAAATTAATGCTCGCCATTGTACATCAAATAATACATCAGAAGTCGAGAACGAATGACTTTTTTCAAGATAGGTACTCCTTCATAAAGAAAACTCAAAAATTATAATTATGAAAGAGATGGTTTGAAGAAGTAGAAGCTGAAGAGGAATTAGAAGGCTCTAGAGCAGTTTTACAGTTCACAACGAGTGTGGAGTCTCAAAGAACCTATGAGTTTTTTGAAGAGAGGTTTTTATAAAGCAAACTCGAAAAAATATTATAACAACGAGGAGATGTCTGAACAAGGAGACGATGAGGCAAGAGAACAAGTCGAAGATGAAGTTGATGGACAACAAGGCTTCAGAGTAGTTCTAGAGTTCACCAGCCCAGATTCCTAAAAGGCCACCTTCAAGGCTATTGAAAATTTTGGGAGGTAATAAAATGTACTTACCTTATACAGAATGTCTCAAAATTGATACCCGTGCTTTTGGAATTTGATTTAGGAGGCTAACACAACTGGAAAATTATGAGTAGAAAATTTTCCAACTCGTACAACCAAAATGGCTGCGTGACGTCACACTAATAGCACAGATTAACCTATTAATCTATGCTAATAGCCCGTATTGTTTGTGGATAAGGAAATGAAATTATATTTTTGTTCAACCTGCCTTTGACTATCACAATTAGACACACAGAACTTTTTATTTCCATTTCTTCTAAGGAAATTAAAGGACACAGAACAGATAAAACTAGCAGACTTGTTGCTGGTGGTGGGTGGTCGGAAGATTGTGGCACCATCGATGGCTAAAATCGGTACTTTTGCATAATGGCGGGCAATTTAAATGATCCCTTTCTTTGTGTAGTTATTAAAAGTTATAATTGTTCGTAATCTTTGCAAATGTCTGCAACAACAGTTTCCAGTACGAAAATACTAAAAATTGTCATTGCAAACATGTGCAAAGAAAAATACATGCTAAATAAAAAAAATGATATATTTAAGGACTACAGTGAATATATTTAAGGACTACAGTCACTGCATGGTTTTTATTATCTACTTGACCGTTTTTAGAATATATTGTGTCTATTATATGATAGATTGCGGATGGCGCGAACACATGTCAGAACACTACGTCTTGCTACTGTTTAACTTAACTTTATTAAGTCTCAGTAAAAGCAGATGGCGCGAACGCATGTTATTTTACTGAAATCAGTCTACACAAATAATTGTTCTGTATTGTTGGTTGCACATACACAAAATCTTTCTAAAACATTGAATTAACAGTGTTCAAAATTTTTTTGTATCAGAACGACTATGAAATGTGCCACCTCGTCCAAATACCTATTGTATTGTTATATCTGCCAATTCTTTTATTACACGCTATTTTTATAATTTGAAGCGTTAGATATACCATTTCAAAGCAAACGACGCGACGGCATTTTTGTACTATAACATAGTACCGGGTGATTGTTAATGTTTGTGACAAAAGAATTTATTGACAACTCTGAATTATTGGTAATCGTTCTAATTTGTCATATCAGAATGTTTCAGGTGACGGTTCAATCAACAGTCGCCCGTCGTAAATGAAAGACAATTAACTATAGACGTTTGTATTTGAAATTGAAGGTTGTCTAACTAGAATTTTCAACCAACTTGAGGTAAAAACTCACAATCATTTACAGTCACCCGGTATAAGTAACAACTTATAACATTCTTATTACAAAGTTGGTCCACAAACATTTTCGAAAATTACTTACAGTGAGAGTCATTTCGCCATAAGGATATGCAGAAGTATGATTATATAAAACCTTATTTTTGATTTTTTTACCTGTTTTGGTTGATTTTATAATTGATTGTACCCCTTTTTTATATGAATTACCATGTATTTCTTTAGCATTTAAAATTAAAAATAAATCAAAAATAAGTTTTATCTCTGTGTTTCTGTGTATGAATATCGTAAAGTAGGAAGAATTGTGCCATTTGTCAAAAAATGGCACTGACGAGGAAAATTTATAGCTAAGGATAGGAATTTGAATTTATTATCATAATCTTCTCAAAGATGCGAAAATAGAAAGTCATTTAACACGTTAACGGCATAAAAATAAAACTTCGTAAAGTACAGTTGACACGAAACCTCCATAAATATTCAGATTCAGACATGACGTAAGGACAAAGAATGTCGACAACAAAAAATATGTCAGCGTAATCAAAACTGCAATTTATAACGATACCAACAAGATATCGTACAAAATATTTAACGAATTGCGCAATTTATTATTTATTGATTGATTCTGTTTATAAACAAATACACAGACGAGACGGTTTTCGCAATCCAATTGCTTTTATCCATGTTGCAATCTCCAAAAACGGAGCTTTTGCACCTCCGGCTGTAACCTGCCCGTCAGATGTCGCCACCGGCGCGGCGTAAGCTCTCGTAAAAATTTTCAGGCGCTTTGCGCGCGCATCCACTTCCATCTGTTCAGCGTTTTCAGCACGACTCCGTCCTCTTTCAGTCGTTTGCGAGCGATGGTGGAGTGAATGTCGCGCGAATTTCAACCTCTCGTCTCAAAATATTGCGTCTGAAAATCGCCGGCCACAAAATGAGTCCCCGCGACGTCTCTGCGCTTTTGTTTCTGTGCTGGTGTGTGATGGTGTCCGTGAAGAACGTCGAAACGTCGGCGGTGCGGGCCAAAAGGACCACTGCGAGTTGCGAAAACGTGAAAAAATTTTTTCAGTTTCGAAATATCACGATGTCGCCGGAAAAGAACAGAGGTAATTTTGGGGGTGGTGAGGTTGGCAACCTTGATCGCGGACACACGGGTGATTCACCTATCCTTAGTATTTACAACAGATGACACCTGTTCTATTAATAAAACGACGCACCGGAGATAAATATTAAGTTTGATCGCCGATTAATGTTCTCGCTTTATAGATCCGGAAATTCATAAAAAAAATCAGTGTAATTGTTACATACGTTATTTTTTGTGGCGTACACACGCGACATGCGATACTACCCTTACGCTAATTATTTATATTGCAGTGTGCGTTTCCTGTTTGTACTTTCATATGTTAATYCTATTATAAATTAAAATGGTTTTCTTGATTTGGTAAATTTTAARTGTTTAGGGTTGGCAAAAAATTTCTTTCATTCAGGGTTGTAAACATTACAAATCTTTGAAAATTCCGACTCGACGCATAACATGCCCCATTTCTAGGGAAGTGTTGACATTCATTTATTTAAAATTTCACCATTATCTCGTCGATAAAATTTTTACGATTATTTTCGACAGATGTATGTGAGGTCATTAGTTTATATTAACAGTTTAAAACGTCAAATAAACTGTCATTAATTTGATTTAGCATTTGATTTCATTGACAGATGCTATTCGTAAAAGTTTGAGTTGATTTCCATGTCATAAGTCGTGAGAAATTTTATTTTCGCTTTTTCTAATCTGATCTTGTGATATTTTTGTAACACCACTACCATTTCTAATTATCACATTCGGTGACAGCACCAACTTAACAAATTTCCGATGTCAGGTAGCCCGAACAGGCAATTTTTCTTTTGTTTCAGGTAAAAATCAGTGATATCTTTTTTTATCTTGACAGTTGGTAACACCAACAATTCCGGCCGTTGCAAACTTCATGTACACCACTGTAATGTCTTCATGTATGGTGTACTAATTTGAAATTCTGAGTAGTTGTCACAATCGTGTCAAACGTGACGGTCTGTGTACAMGTTGAACATGAAATAGTCCCAGATTTTCCAATTGTTTGTGTAAAAAKAGCACACTCAACTTGCCAAAAATTAGTGTCAGGATTTATGACAGGTGCCAACTTGATACATTTATCGGATTTGACGTATTGCCAACAGGAAAAATGGGTGTACCAGTGACTTACATTCGTTCGTCATTTGCTCTACTAATAGATCGGTTATGGTAATTGGACGGTTGCGATAATTGTCTTCTTCCTTTCGCGCAGTTGGTAATCCTGCAATTCGTATGCACGCAATGTCCCTTATAAATTATATAATCACAAACATATTTCTGTAACATAGACGGCGACCCTCAATAAATATTAATAGTCTCGGAACGCAGTAAAGGTATAGAGGTTAAATTTTGGGGAAGTTTAGTATTTGAAGGTTGGCGGTCGGCTGAGGTCTTTTTTTGCACACTCTGTATATTGCGTAACGGTCAAGATGAAAGACTCTCATTGTTTTCCGATCCGAATGGACGTGTTGCGATGTAAGAACTTCATTTCTTCTTGTTGTTTAATTGAAAGTCTGCAAGCAGCTTGACTTATGATGTAAATTGAGTTTTCTTTCTCACCGTGTGGCTTTTTTACTCCTGTTTCTCGTCTCGGTTCACTACTACAGTATTTGACGTTTTCGTTTTTGCCAACAGTCAGCGTAATTTGTTTTCTATTGTCTCGTTTAATACCTTTTTTTTTTAGAAAAAACAAATTAGGAATAGAAATGGAATAATTAGTCGCAAGGGTCATTGTCGTGACATTTCAAAAATTCGAAATTAGTGTCAAATGTCAATGTTGCTTAGCAACTGTCAATGCTGGATTTGCACATTCTTTATCACATGATATTCCTGGTATTTGTGTCTTGAATGCTGGCGTGACATTTTTTTAACACGCGCTATTTACAGAATTGATTAAATTTGGTCTCAAGGCTATAGGCATGAGAAAATTAGAATTTTCTCATTTAAAGAGATCTAAGCCTAAGATTTCATTGAAAACATTGAGTTAGATTTCAAAATAGGTAGACTTTAATCGGCCGACTTGAAACAAAATTGTTCAGAGAGAATGGTTTCATGTTTCTAAAATATAAAGATTTTATAACTGTGAGGATAGTTTATCCAGTGACGGCTCGTGTTGTTGTGATCACGAGCTACCATCGAAAACAATTTGATAAAGCTCTGTCACGTGACATTTGGCACTTAACCCCAAAGTTTTGACATTTCATATTCTAAAATGTAATTTCATCTCTGATCGATCCTAATGTAAATTACGTTGTGTGTACACGAATGTTCAATGCGTACTGAGCCGTCATGCCGTTTTGATTAAATTTGCATCGAATTAAATTTGATGTTTCTGTCTCGAATCATGACCCATAAATCGTGGGCGGCCTTGCGAATCCTGATTTTATTGACGCGCATTGTATGAGGTTGTTTTCCTAGGGACTTTGATCGATTTGAATCAGCGAACACGTCCTGTGATTAAAGACTCATCTAAAATTTTGATTTTTCCGGGGGATGACCCGAAGATCCAGGCCGACGAGGCGCCACATGGGCGCTAGCTGAATTTCAATATATCGAGTTTTATAGCGAATGCCTGGAGGAATGGAGGCATCGCGGAAGTTGTTATCGGGAAATAGTGTGTATTTTATATTGCGTTAGATAATAAATTATAAAGATCGTTAAATATAACTTTATTTGTGTTTATCGATGGCACGAATAATAAATAATGCGATCTACACGCGCGTCTTATTCATTAAAAAGACATAAATTTTAGAAATTGATATTAAAAATGGCAGCTGCTAGAGGAACGGGTACTGGCATTAGCGACAAGCTTTACTTTAAAAGGAGTTCAAAGGCAGATAATTTGTGTGATTTTATCACAAAATTAGCAAGTTTGCGCAAAATTTTTATCAACGGTAAATATGGTCAGTAAATCAGATCTTAAAATAAACTAAAAGTAACAATATACGTCGGTTATCGGTTTTTGACATTTAGCGGTCATTGGCGTCGCTACCAACTTTGCAAACTCAAATAAT